GGATACAGGCGGCCAATGGATACAGGACTGGCCAATATAAAGTCCCCCTGCCCCACCGAATCTGCTTGGAGATTAGCTATTAATATCCATGTAGGGGCAAGACTCCGGCTCAGTAACAGTGTTTTACGCATGTTTTTGTAACATTTAGTACGTCCTTCTAGTACTGCTCCTATCATACTCATCGCCTGCTCCTAGCGGGAGGGTAGCGTCCATCCAAAAAGTGTGCATCAATATTAAATAATAGAGATATTCTTCTAATATATATATTCTTCTTTCTTCTTTAGTCATACTCAACTGAGTATATTTTTCAGTAGCTAATATGGCAAAGCGACTTCGCTAGGCTATTTGGGAACGGCTTATACGAGACAGGGGTTCACCGGGCCTCCATACAGTTCGTTTGATACTAGCTAGCCAACCTCAAGATAGTATTTGGACCACCGAGATCTATAAACACACAAACACATAAAAAAGATGCAATTTAAGGTTAACAAAATTTAAAAAAAGCAATATTCACGTGAGACCTACCTACTTTCTGTATATAGTAAGCCTAAGTGATTTCTAAATACCAACAGTGCAGCCCATTTGCTAGCCATAACGCTCTATTGATTCATAATATCTATGTATATTCGATGAAAGGCTGTCGTTTCTATGACGTACCAACCCACGCGCCTATGCGAAATCCACGGGCCGTATGGCAGTGTTACTATGGATACTGGAGATAACACGCAGTCTGACAAGTAATGCATTGTGCTGCACTTTCAACCCACGTGCTCATCGTGACGGATAAAACATAACACCCGGCAGACTATATATGTGTCTTCACCGCCTCTGTGATGTTGCTTTTGGTCAACTAAAGCTATGCTCACACCGACACTGCTGTCCCTGATCTTTGTGCTGAACATGGCCACACCAACAGTACCATACCTGTCCTTGGTGCTGAACATGCCTACACCAACACTACTGTCCCTGTCCTTGGTGTTTACCATACATACTCCAACACTGCTGTCACTGTCCTTGGTGCTGAACATGCCCACACTAACACTACTGTCCCTTGGTGCTGAACATGCATACACTAACACTACTGTCCCTGTCCTTAGTGCTGAACATGCGTACACTAACACTACTGTCCCTGTCCTTAGTGCTGAACATGCCTACACCAACAATACTGTCCCTGTCCCTAGTGCTGAACATGCCTACACCAATATCATGCCTTCACTAAAAGATGAGTTCCCGTGCGTCCTATTTATATTTCAATCCATATCACAGCCATGAGGGAGGAATGTATTGGTTTCCCAGCATTTCTTATTCTTTGCGTGAGGATGAGGGAGTTGAATATGCTGTATTTGGTCGCAAATAATTGCAAACAATTTCAGTCATTCGGTTGTGTTAAGTTAGCGTTATCATAGTTTAATTGCCTTATCGCATGGCAACAACTGAACATACAAGCAATCCCTGTTGATACATATGTAGCCATAAAAGATGATGAAAGACTTTCAAATGACTTTCAAACTTTTTTATTCCAGCCTGTACAGCATATATTTACATAATTTTTCAGAAGTATGATAAAACAAAAACGCACTATTCTATTTCCTTCATTCATTACGGAAGAGATACATATGAGACCGAAAGAAACAGATTATTTCAGACAGTTACAACAATCTCTCCATCATTTCGTCATTTAGAAGATCACCAAAAGACTATGTTTCTACTAAGATCACAAAACCCACTAATTATGCAGAATGTGGGACTATTCATTATCCACTGCCTTCAAAGAAGAAGTCGAACCCCATAATAGCTAGCGTAGTAGTAGAAGTAGAAGTTTTTCCAGACAGATTGTTACCTGTCTCCTGTTACTGTATTGCAACGAGTATTATACTTGATTGTACAAGCAATTCGCCTTCGGGCATGATTTTGCAAATAAACTTTATTATTATATTTTGTACAAATAACTTGGGTTAGGAACACTTTTCAAGATAAAAAGCCAGACACTGTGGAACGCCAAGAAACATGTTCTCTTCGGTACAAAGTTGTTCTAATTTGACTCAAGCCGTGGACCCAATGAGCTGAGAAAAGCCCTTTCGCAAGTTCTTGTTGTAGTAACCATATATGACTGGGTTTACTCCACAGTTGATGAAAGCCAACCCTTTTACAATTGGCGAAACGTAGTGGTACAGAATCTCAGCTGTGGTGTCTGTTAGGTTGGAAAAGAGCGTGGCAATGAGCAAGGAATAGAGAGGAAGCCAGGACAAGGTGAACACCACAACAACAACTAACAACATTCTGATGACGTGGAGTTTCTTTTGTGTGTCAGCAGGACAGCTTATCTGTGGTACAGACGGTGTG